TAGTCGCGCTCTATTAATTGTATACGTGCGTGAAACAAGAGACGATCGATCCCAATAAGGATCAATTAGATATCCAAAGATATCCAAGATTATTTTTTGGGATAAGTGCATTGAAAGTCCTAAAACTTGTCACGTAAGTACAATCGAGTCTTAAAACTTTTAAAAATTGCAATCAAGTCGTTGCCCAATTGGTCCAATCAAGTCCTTCTATTAATTGCATTTTTTAAAATTTTTGGGACTTGATTGCACTTTCATAATAAGTTTTATGACTCAATTGTAATTTTCGAAAGTTTTAGAATCGACCGCACTTTCATGATAAATTTTAAGACTTGATTGTATTTTTTGAAAACTTTATGACTTAATTACACCTTCGTGATAAATTTTAGGACTATATACTGCACTTATTCCTTTTTGTTTTCTTTAATAGAAGAAATAGCAAAAAAAAAAATAATGACGAATCACATAAGGACACACACTCCTTTGACTTGCCTCAAGAAGAAATCTCCAATTGGGAAGTTAGGAACTACCCGTCAACTTTCACGTTTTCCCGCACACAGATTGGCGAATTCGGACAAGGCCCACACGACAAGAACCGTTGATTTCGTCACCATAAAACCGGCCAAAGAATTTCTGCTTCCTTCTTCTCCTTCTTCTTCCTTCCTTAATGTTCACTCCATCCCTCTTTCGACTGCCAAAACCGCACGCAACCGACGGGGAAAAAGAACCGCCCACAACCCCCTCAAACCTTTTTTGCTCTTTCTCGCATGTCGGAGAGGCGGGCTCATCGGCGACAGGCGGCGGTCTCCGGCGGCGGCCGGAGTAGCAGGCCGCCGCAGCCGTCGCCACCCGCTGCCCGGCGGTCTTCGTTCAAGCACCTGAGGCCGGCGAAGAGGCTCGAGAGGTGCTCCTCCGAGCCCTCGCTATGGAACAGTGCGGAAGATCTGGTCGGGGACGGCCCGGGCGATCTGAGGCAGAGCGTGAGCTCGAACGACGGGGCTCTGTTCAGCCCCCTGAGCTGCACGGACGTGCTTGCCTCGTCTCCTTCTTTGATGGGTAGTTCTTCTCCCGGCGGATTGGAGGTAAAAGTTGCGAACTTTTCCGTGCTGTTCTTGATTTGGAACTGTCGTGTTCGGATTTTCAGAGATGGCTTTTGATGGGTTATTGGGTTGTTTCGTTTGATCTATCTGCTCTGACTTGTCTAGCTAATGGGGTTTGAATCTTTGGCTGCTCAAGTTTAATCTGTATAATGATCGGTCAAGTTCTGTTTTAGCTATCGAAGGGAATTAGTTGATTCCTTCGAGCAAAAGCAGGTGCTGGAAGAAACGAACCCATCCTTATCCCCTGATACTAGATGACATGCGCCTAGACATAGCAGCAAAACCAAACGTTTCGGTTCGCATGAACTAGGGATTGACCTATTTCTGGAATTTCTAGATGAGCTATCAAACCACATATATAGACATTGCTGTGTGTGATTCACTTGTTGCATAGAGTGACTCAAGTAGATTGATTGCAGGTAAATGCGTAAGATCAATTGTCGGCCTTAAGATCAAAAACTTGCGTAGCTTTAATTGATTACTGAGGGACAAGTCTAGAAGCTGTGGAGGGGGATCTTTGGTTTCAGCTTTTCCAGTTTTTCTTAGTTATGGATCTGAAGTTGCTCTTTCTGTGTGTGCAAAATAAAATCTAAATCTTTTTGGAACTTTTGGATGTGTGTAGGGATACAATAAGGAGGCCAAGGTGGTGGTAAATGTAACCGTGGAAGGGAGTGTAGGGCCTATCAGGATGATGGTCAAATTGGGTTCCAGTGTGGAGGACACAATCAAACTCGTTATGAACAAGTATAAGGAAGAAAGGCGAATGCCCAAGATTGATCGGGATCGCTCGACCGGCTTCGAGCTGCACCATTCCTATTTCAGCCTTCAGAGTAAGTCCAGAATCTCGTTGTTCAGTACTCCTTATGGTGGCGTGTAGGAATTTTGGGAATCTGGTACATCTATGATTCTGCTGGCACTAGTTGTGCAATTTGTGATGTTCTTGGATATTCCGTGATGGTATGCTTGATTCATGATGAGAGCCAAGCCAACTAAATCAACGTGCAGTCGTGTTATGACTTTTTGGGGAGTATTGAACAGTCGGAATCTCAAATTAAGCACATAGCAAACCAGTTGCCTTCAAAAGGAAACATAGAGAACACACTTTCTTAGTTACTGCCTCTCTGGTTCTGCAGAATCTTTGAACGTTCTATAACTTCCCTGTGGTTCTGTGAAAAACCGTAGATATATCATGAAAAAGTTGGACCATAATTGGTAAATCCACAGGGTGACACTGTGATGAACATCTTCCATTAGTCAGGGTCTCTGCTCTACAGAAAGAACATATGGAATCTAATTTGGAATGTCGTGTGCTGTATAGGTCTGGATAAATCAAAGCTTCTCGGCGATGTGGGTAGCCGAAGCTTTTATCTGCGAAGAACCACTACTGGTCTCGATAACAGCGGATTCTCGGCTTCTTTTGTATCCGATAAAGCAGCAACAGTGAGGACCAGCTCTCCACCGAGTCCGCCTCTTTTCTTCTTGTTTACAACTTTCATAGCTCGAAAGCTCGCGAAAATCATGAGAAGGGCTCATAAGCTCTGGAGAATCATTATCTGCTCGCAACAAGACTAACCCGACATCCTTCCAGTGTTGGAGCAGCATAATTTTTTTGTCATGCTACTCTAACTGCTATTGCTGTTCGATGTAACCTTTCATAATTCAGCATACGTACGACCAGCTCCTCTGATGGGGTCCTCCGGTTCAACTTGTGAATGATGCCATTTGATTCGAGCATTGATTCAGCGTACCGGCTATGTACATAAGAAGTGCGTGTATTCGTTGCATTGTATAGCTAAAGCGTGTGAGAGTCCACCCTATTGCTATGATGTTGGACGGCATTGAAATGGTCGGTCGGGTTTGGCAAAGGACAGGTTAGATGAACTTCAATGTATTGGATTAATATCTATGATGTGTTTTCACACGAGAAGTGAAAGAATAGTAAAAAAGGAGGAACTTTATATTGTGCTCAGGTTTCTCCTTTCTTTTTCAGTCTAATTCCAAAAAAAAGTATCAACTTTAGGTTGAGTGATAATTCTGGCCCTAACCTTTTTTTTGTCTTGTAAAAAAATACCAACTTTAGGTCGAGTGACAATTCTGACCTCAACCTTTTTTTGTCTTGTAAAAAAGTACCAACTTTCACTTAAATCTCAAATCTGGCTTTCATTAACTTAGAATCATTGATTATCCAACTTGATTGTTCCACCTCAGCAATAAATTCACGTGGCTTGTTGACTGGATTTAAAGCACTATTTATTGTCTTATTTTCTAAGCCATAGCTTGAAGAATAACAGTAAAACTGTTCGTCTCCTTCACTTCATCGGCAAATAAAAAATATCTTCAGATTAAATCTCTCTGGCGTAATCTGAAGCTGTAGACCACCGTCCGTCGACAGACGTTATGCACAAGATCTGCCAAGCTCACCACCATAACCCTTTTTTCTCAAACAATGGTGACTTCAGACAGAAAGTCAATGGGAGGGCCAGATTTGAGATAAGGGTGAAAGTTGGTGATTTTTTATGAGACAGAAAAAAGTTGGGGCCACAATTGTCATTCAACCTAAAGTTGGTGCTTTTTTACAAGATAAAAAAAAGTTCAGACTAGAATTGTCACCCAACCTAAAGTTTATGCTTTTTTTTTTAATTAACCCTTCTTTTTCTTTTTCTCTTTTTCGGTTCCTTTTGTTTATTTCTTGCCTGAACCTAGGAATTCGTTTTGTTACTTTCTTTTTTACTTTGAGACAACCAAAAGAACATGACAAACCCACCAAAAAATCAGAGTAATTCGTATCAATAAGGGTTAATACCACGAAAAATCTCAAATCGGTACATTTGTGACAAATTTACCCTACGTTAGTTTCCGTTAAATTGGATTAATATAACGAAAAATCACAAACCGGTACACTTATGATGAACGAAGGCCAAAACCCAAAACTAGTACACTTGTCAACTTCACATGTCATCCAACTCAGTAATTTGACTGTAAAATTTAATAGAAACTAACAGAGGGTAAATTTATAACGGGTGTATCGGTTTAGGGTTTTTGGTGATAAAAAAATTAGTTTGAGGTAAATTTGTCACAGGTGTACCAATTTGAAATTTTTTGTGATATTAACCCTATTAATAAATCCTTAATTTTGTCATTCTAAAAGTCAAAATGCATAATAAAGTGAGCAATGTAGTGCCCCCACAATTTCAATCCTTGTTAAAGTCCTAACATATAGACTCCCCAATAGGTCGGTTTGTATCTCTTTTTAGGCAAAATATCAATTGTTGTTCAACAAGATCAAACGAATCTTTTCGGTTCGTGAATTAGTATATCACATAACAATATACTTGAAACGAGTAAAACCGATTTAACAAAATGGATTTATAAAGGGATGGAATACATTAGAAAAATCGACTAATATTCGAGCATTAATTTAAGGGAAAATGATACAAATAGTTTTTGAACTTTGACCCAATATGCAATGTGATTCATGAACTGTTAATTTGTTCAATGTGGTCGTTGAACTTTAACTTAATGTACAATGTGCTCCCTGAACTTTTAATTTGTTCAATATGATCCCTAAATTTTTTGTAAATGTTCAATTTAGTCCAAGAATTATTACATTCCTGGATTCAATCCAGCCCTTGGATTATCTAGTTCAGGGACTATATTGAATATTTACCAAAAGTTCAGGGACCATACTGAACAAATTAAAAGTTGAGAGATTAAATTATATATTAAGATAAAGCTCAGGGACCATTTGAGTAATTATTCCTTAATTTAAACTCTATTTGAACTTGATGGTTAAAATCACGAAACTGATAGTTTGTACTATTATTCCTACGACAAAGCGGCATCACGAGGGGCAGTTTGAACGTCCCGCCAGCCTTCCACGAAGCTTCGCGCTGTCTCTCTATCCCTCCATTAACGTCCAAAAACAAACCTCGCTTGCTGATCTTTTCTCTATCTCCGTCGCCATCTCTCTCTCTCTCTCTCTCTACAACATAGTTATCATGAATCACCGCTCACCCCACCCGACCACCCGCCGCCGCCCCGCCGCCCGCGCTCCCCCGGCCCGGGTGCCCTCGGACTGGTCCCTGCAGACCTTCCCGCCGGAGGGCCACGCCGACCTGGTCCGCCGCCGGGGCGGCCTCATCTCCGTCCCCTGGAGGCTCGCGCTGCCGCCCTGGCTTCCGTCTGCGGCCCCCGAGGCGGCAGCGGGGGGACCGGCGAGGCTGCTGCTGAACGTGACGGTGGAGCGGAGCCTGGGGCCGGTGCAGGTGGTGATGGCGGCGGAGAATAGCGTGGGCGACCTGGTGAGGGCGAGCGTGGAGGCGTACGGGAAGGAGAAGAGGCGGCCATTGCTGAGAGCGAGCGACCCTCGCTGCTTCGAGCTTCACTACTCGCCCTTCAGCTTGGAGTGTGAGTTCTCACCTCACCAGCTTTTTTCATTCTTAAAATCCACGAAAATTTTCTATGTTAATATTATTATGCTGACCTGGAATTTCCTCGAACCCAAAAAAAAAAATGTGGACCTAGCCTCTATGAGGTGAGCAAGATGGACCGCCCAAATCGGAACAAGACCGGACCGAACAGATCGGTTTGATCCAATTCTCGGGAATATTGGTCCGGTTCCCGATTCCTAAAAATGAAACCGGTTTTCAAGTGGTCTGGTTCCCGATTCTAGGATGGGGGCCGAACCGGACCGATAAATATTTATATTTCTAATTTTTCATATATATATATTTATTTATTTACTTTTTAAAATTTTTGAAAAAAATAGAAAGCCTAATCTAATTTTTCCAATTTCCTCTTGCCTTTATCAATAAGTGATTGGTCCCGTTAAAATCGGTTCACGGTCTCAAGACTAGCCGGTCCCCTATCCTATAAACTAAAAACCGATCCTCCCGGTCCGATTTTGGATTCCTGGATTAGACCGGATCAGACCGAAAACTGCCCACCCCTAATCCTTCCCTTAACAACCCTCCCTCCAGGTAATTAGGGTCGAGCAATTCTAGGACGAGTATATTTCAAACATGGAACATAGAACCTATCCCATCAACATCAATTCTTAGCTTTTAGAATCTGCAACCTGTTATGTAGACCATAGAACCGACCTTGTCACTAATCCTTTTTTTTTGTTTCATTTTTTTTTATTTCTTGAAATGACAACTTTAGTAAAACATCCCATTATTTATAAGAATCAGAAGTGGAAACAACGAGAATACAAGATGAAAGGTAAAACTAAAAAGAGGGAATTTGGGTTTCTTGGTCCGATTTTGCACCTAAAATTGGGCCGATAATAGCAGGTTCCAAAAATTTGGAACCGAAAACTGGACCGGAACCGGTTGAGTAGAATCGGTCCAGTCCGGCTACAGGATCTACCTAGAATCTATGTTCACCCCTACAGTCAACAAAATCAAATCAAATTATCAAAATCCGATAAGCAAAAACCAATGTCGTTTCTTTTATATCTTGCGGCACACGAATGTTAAATATCTTTCAATGTGATATTTATATCCATCTACCAAATCGATGCTCTCTATTTTACTTTCCATTTGTGCCTCCCGGAACTTGGATTAGGCACTGAAATTGCATAAGGAGTTGGTACTTTTACAATGCATCATGCAGGTCTAAGGCCAGAGGAGAAGCTGATAAACTTGGGGTCAAGGAACTTCTTCCTCTGCAGCAAGCGCTCCACGTCCTCCAGTTCCTGTGGCTCTGAAGAAGCCAAAATGGGGGCATGCTCCCCATTAGCACTGACCCATCTGATGGACTTCCTCCTATAGATCAGCCCCTCGGTTCAGTAGATGTACGAGAAGTCATGTAGTCGGCACGTGCCCAACGACGCGCGAATTGCGAATCGGGGCGAATTACCCGTGAGACAAATGAGATCAAGGTTTTTAGATTGAATTGGGTTCACATGAATCGAGTTCGTGTTTGCAAATTTTCGAGGTCAATGGCTCTGAGAGATTGGATGTATTTCTCTCTCTTCTCTTCTGGGAGCCATGACGTGTTTTTCATATGATTGATGATGTTGGGCATGAAACTCATGAGTCCTATACTATCGTATCTAAATAGTTTTTGTTCATACTTCTTACGTTACTCGTGACTAGACTATCAGTTGATAAAGAATTATTCCATGACAATTTTGAAAAAATAATCAAAAACTATAGACCGTCATACGTATCGATATTTGGATTTAGAAAGATTTTTTTATGTTTCATGCTAAATAAAGTCGAAATTGCGAGCGCCAAAAAAATTGCAAAATGCAAAAAGTCGAAATAGAAATACTGTAGCAACTTACTTGATTTGACTTTAATATGAAACGAAACGTCTAAAAATTGTGCTTGAGCTCTCCACTTTCTTTTTGCTTAGGACAAAAAACCCTTTAAAATAGACATGACTTGGATGGGCCGGGACTTATATCACTCGTCGGTGGACTTGTCCGGTTTAATGCGCCAATGAAGCATCAATTGTCTACTGGACGGGTCTGTCGCTGTAACCTCGCTAGGTGGAAGTGGAGATCCCTAAGAAGTTATGCACGTAAAAACCCGGTCCTATCTTTCTCAGACTAACGGAGTGGAGGAAAATACCAAAAGCATGCTTGAATTTTCATCCGAATACCGAAAAACATACCTCTGTTTGAACTACAAGTTTGCTGCCTGGCAGCACAACTAAAACTACTTTGATATCCCTCCCCTGTCTAAAAGCCTAAAAAACTCTAGCCTCGCACCACCCAAAAAACCCCGTCTCTCAACAAAAATTCCCCCCCCCCCCCTGCCCTCCTCGAAGGCCGATCGCCACCTTCTCCGTCTGGGGACCGCCTTGTCGTCGCCACTTTGCGCGGTTGGCTAGAGTTTAGGTATGAGTGATCATGAATAAAAGAGTAGGGCCATTTCCGAATAGAGGGGAATGACAATCTTGCAAAATAAATGCACAAATATGCTGAGTTGAAGTAATAAATTTGTAGTTTCAAAAAAGTAGGGATATGTTTTTTGTTGTGCAGTGAAATATCAGATATGTCCGACCAAAAAATAATATATCAGATATGTTTTTGGTATTTTCCAAAAATGTTAAAAATGAGAAAGATAAAACTCCATTTTCTTTCTTTCATTCTTTCTTTTTGGGTCTCTTCGGAGACATCCAATAAAAATCTTTCTTTTTGAAATAAGGGCACTTAAAATTAAGAAAGTGCAATTGAATACTAAAATTTTCATATAGTGTAATAAAATTTTAAAACTTGTCATAAAAGTGCAATTGAGTTCTGAAGCTTTTTAAAAAGTACAATCAAGTTATAAAACTTGTTAGTATTTTCCGTTTATCATGTCCTAAAACTGGATAATCGCTTTTCTCTTCTATTCCCTAGGGTTTTCTCCTCTCCTTCGCATCTTCACACAATTTTCTTTTTCAACCTCCGTGGAGTGGAGGGTTTGAGCTATGTATCTCTCCTGGCCTCCCTCCCCTTTTTTTCCTTTTTCTTTGGATGATTTGGTTCTTTGTTCCTTTTTTTTTTTTCGCTTTGCTCATGTTTCATAGAGCTTTTCTCTTCTGATTGTGTATAGATCTAAAAGCTTTTCTCTTCCATTTCGAGAAGATTTCTATCTCGATATGCTCTAGATTTGGGGATTTTTGTGTGTATGATATGAAGGTTTCACATCCCTCAAGTTTCGTTGGGGGAGACCGAATGAGCACTGTGAAGGTTTTTCTCTCACACGTGTCAGATCTGTGTTCGTTTAATCTTGTTACTCTGAATAGCGATGACAATGCTATAGCAATAGATGGTGATCTTAGTATGTGCTCATTACTAAAGACGGATTTGGTGATTGACCGTGGAGTTCGGTTTGAATAGGTCGTAGAATTGCTCTTTGAGCGGATGACATTTACCTTGTTCTGATGATTTATCTTGTTATCTGTTGTCTGGGATTTATCTTGATTTGCAATTGAACTATATTGTTTTTCTCTTGTATTTTGTGGAAATGAACGAAATGTTACTTTGACCAAAATAAAAGTTTGAAGGACTTGATTACACCAACTTGACAAGTTTTAGAATTTGATTGCACTTTTTAAAAGTTCTAGGATTCAATTATGCTTTCGTGATAAGTTTTAAAACTTGATTACAGTTTTTGAAAGTTTTATAACTCAATTGTATTTTCATGATAAATTTAGAATTTTTAATATATATATATATATATATATATATATATATATTTGCCTTGGGATATGGTACACCTTCATTTCCTTCTCCGTTTGAAGACGAGCCCTTGGATTGGTTCCTCCGTGCACGCCCTCTCTCACTTCCTCTTCCGCACCTCCCTCAAAAGTCAACAGTCAACTTGCAGAGCTCGCTGCCCTTCTCTCTCTCTCTCCGGCTCTGTAAATTTTGAGCTGAACTTGCGAGAGAGGAAGACGAGGTCAGGGGAGAGCTCGAGCGAGCAAGCAGGGATCATGGAGGATCTCTTCGGGTGGCTGGTCTCCTTCTTCGCCGCCGTCGCCCTCGTAGTCGTCGTTATTTACCAGGTTAGCCCCCACGCCACCGAAACCCTAGCTCCCCAACTCTCTTGTCCGTCAGAGTTACCCACCTTTCTTGATCAGGTTGTTGAAGTCGAATCGCAGTGTGTTGTTCAATTCGAAGTCGCGATTGACCCCTCCCTGTACTTTCCCCTCATCTTTGAGCCGACCCAAATATGGGTAGTGTTTAATTTTGGTATGAAGCATCTCAAAGTGGAAACTTTGCCGTTGGAGGGTGATCGGACGTTGAGATTAGAAGGGTGGTCGATGATGGATTGAGAAGCAGATGACTCTGTGCTACGTATCGTGTCTGAATCCCTTTTCGATGATGGCCAAAAGCTGCTTTTTTCCTTTGTTTTTTTGCTTCATTGTGGAAGCTTTTGCTTCCCGAAGCGGGGTTTCATTTGCCTCTCCGTCTTTTTGTTTCCGGAGCTGTCGATCCTCACTGTAAATGGGATCCTCCGTAAGAAGTGCCGCGATCCAATAACGACGCGTTTCGATCCGTGTCGTGTGCAGGCATAGGCCCTTTGGTTTTCTGTATGGAGCCCTTTGACTTTGCAGTTCAATGGGTTGTAATTATGAACAAACTGCGAACCGTGGCGGCCTTTTGCTGCTCTTACAAAGGAATTCTGGTTTTTACGTATTCTTCGTTCAACTTTTTATGTTTACAAGTGATGAGGTCTAACTCTCGTGATTACTTGCAGCTCATGTGCTTGGCAGACCTGGAGTTCGATTACATAAACCCTTATGATTCTGCATCGCGGATTAATGCGGTGATCTTACCAGAGTTTATTGGACAGGGAGTCTTGTTGTTGTTTTATCTCTTGACAGGACATTGGGTTATGGCCCTGTTGTGTGTTCCATACCTCTATTACAATGTGACACTGTGAGTTCAGTTTATTCCTCCTTTTATGGCGTTATGTTGTGTATTTGAAGCCAAACTAGCAGTGCTTTCTATGATTTGGATGATTCTCTCTCAAGAAATGCTGGCAGCCTGTTTTGATGTCCAGTGAGGACAGTATTTTTAATCATATATACTAGCCAGAGCTTTTTAATTTCCTGGAGATTTGTAACATGTTCAATGACCAAACAGATGCTTAAATTGATGGCTTGCACTAATTCATTCGGCCCAAGTTAATGATCCCTGTGACTCTTGCCCCGCAGCTGAAATTCGATTATTCTGAGCATGATGATGCTCTTTGGCCGTCATTGCAAATGCGAGACCTTTTTTATGTCAAGACTTAAACGGACATGTCCTAGCTCTGACTTATCTGAAGGATAGTTGTTAATTAGATAGTCAAACCTCTTCTGTTAACTATGTTTAGCTTTATTCAATGGCGGATACTACACAAGGGCTTTAAATTATCGTGATGCAACTTGGTTATTGACTAGTACATCTAAATGCAAACTTGTGTGTAAATGAAGATATAAAAGCATCTTGTTGTCTGAGCTGATTGTTGATTATCTGTTTACCTTGCCAGTGAAGCTATCTGCATGTAATAATTTGGTGATGGCTGGCTCTGATCTGTGACTGTTGTTAGGTACACTCAGAAACAGCACTTGGTAGATGTTACAGAGATATACAACATGCTCAAGTGGGAAAAGAAGAAAAGGCTTTTTAAGCTGGGCTATTTAGTAATGCTGCTCTTCCTCTCCTTATTTTGGTATGCCGAAAGTGAAAGGCTGCTTGCCTATGAACTATTCATGTTTTTTTATTCCTTTGAAATCTTCAAGCCGTGGCCTGATGCTAGAACACGAATGTTCCTCCCAGGTTGATCTATAGCGCACTGGACGATCATGAAGAATGAGGATATTCTCATCCGGAATTTTCACATGTTCACGTGATCTTTCCATAATCTTTGGGTTGGATTCCTGATTGATATGCTTTGGGTAGGAGGCAAGTTGCGCCTTTTCAGTCACTCTCAGGTCCTCCATCTCTGCTTGGCTGTGCTGCTCTATGCTAAGGAGTGTTCTGTTCCCTGTTCCATCTGTCTTTGTGATGTTCCGAGCTCGAGCAGGAGTTACTCATGGAACTCCTTTCTGCCGAGGGTTGTAAACTTCATTAGATTAAGCATTTGTGCATTATTTATTCTGCAACTGGCTTTCATTGTTGTTAATTCTGGACTTACAAATTCCATGGGGAGCAAGGACCTCAGTTCTCATAATCACATCGCATGCGCTGCAAGTACAGGCACAATTCGCGAGTGTACTCGACTCTCTTGTTGGGCAAGTTAGATGTGTTTGATTCCAGGTGTGAATTGGGAAACATCAAAGTGGGCGACGTCCGAGAAATAAACTCATCTATGACTCTCTGATTTTACCATTTACTGGGCCTATCATAATGTCTGACAAGGAAATCATTTTTGTATCGCCCAGTAGAGAAATACAGCTAAAAATTTTCCACGGGACTTTTATCTCCTAAGGGACTTGAGCAGGCTACTGTCACGGGTCAGGGGTTTTCCAAGCCCAACAGACCCAAAAAAAATGCGAAGATAGCCCGAGTTGGCCCATGAGAACCATGAAGTCTAGAATCTAGGGGTGATTGATTCCTGGTTCGGTCCGGTTCTAAGAATCGGTTCCCACAATTGGGAATCGGGGACCGGATCGGTCTAGTCCGGTCCAATGGAATTGATCACTCTTTTTTCCCCACTATTTGATGTCATCTTTTCGTGTTGAATTAAATGATATGTATGTAATGATCTTCATATTGAAAAGACGAATAAAAAAATGAGTTTCACTTAGGGTTTAGTTTACATTTTAATAATTTTTTTGAAGAAATAAAAAAAAGTACATGTAGTCGATTCGGTTTCCTTTGGAATCGGGAATCGTATCGACACTCTCGAGAACCGGACCAAATCGGCCGGGTCTGGTCTAGGCGGTTTCCGATTTGGGTGGTCCGTTTTGCATATCCCTAGTAGAATCTTCTTGTATTTAGGGTCTCTTAAGAGACTGGAAAATTGTCAAAAAGGTTCTAAACCTATCGCGTTTTTGCCAATTCAGTCTTAAACTTTTTAATTGTATCAATTAAGTTCTAAACATAATAACTTTTTATAAATTGAGTCCATCCAGTCAATTTTGGCCGGAAATTATTGACTTAGACACTGGTCATCCTACGCGGTGTCGCTCTTCGATAATTTTTAATAATATTTTAATCATTTTTGATTTTTTTTTAAATTTCCTTTTTTTCTTTTCTTTCTCTTTCTTTTTTTCTGCCCTTCTTCCTTTAACCTCGCCGGCCTCTAGCGAAGCTCGCCCTTGCCGACCACCAGTGAGGGCGGGGTCGAGCCTCGCCCCCCAAGGGGAGGCCAACCTCACCGACCTGAGGAAGAAGAGAAAAAAAAAAGAGAAAGAGAAAGAGAATTTTTTTAAAAAAAAAATCGAAAAAATATTAAAATATTATAAAAATTATTCATGTTAGTGCTGGCAATGATACCGATTTCCGGCTGGATAGACTTAATTGTCAAAAAGTGAAAATGTTTAATTTTCAATTGGTACACTTAAAAGGTTTATGACTCAATTAACACAATTAAAAGGTTTAGGATTGAATTGGCAAAAGTGCAATAAATTTATGACTTTTTGGACGATTTTTCTCATAAAAGACTACAGAATATTCCAAGCATATAACATGAATGGATTTAGCGGTTTTCAAGCTCAACATACCCAAAAAAAATAAGCCAAGATAGCCCATGAGTTAGCTTGGAGTTGGCTTGTGGAACCATGAATTCCAGAAACATCTTGTGTCTAGGGTTTTTTAAGAGACTCTAGAATATTCCAAATATATAACAGAAATGTATATTGTAATTAATAGGTAAGTGGTAGGTAAAGAGATCAAACTTCCACCGTTTGATCAAAAGGTAATCACTGGTTGTAAAGAGAAGAACTCATGTATAAATAGGGATGCCATTTCCTCATTTGAATCATATAAAAACTGTGCAATGCAAGCATTTTTGAAAGCTTACCTCTTTAATCACTTTCTACCATTCCCTTTCTTGGTGAAAGGAATATATCTAGACATTTCAATTTGAAGTGAATCCCATAGGATATAATTTCGTGATACAACCACCATCCGAGATAAATACCTTAATGGAAACGTCTAGATGGGCTTGGATCAGGAACAACAATCACAACTTGACTCGGTTTATTCATCAAACCCGAATTAGACTCATGTTTAGAAATTCAATAAAGGATGCGGCCGCTTTCCGGAATATCATTTTCCAAGAAAATGGATAGTTTTTTTTGTATGGATTTCATCTAAAAAATAGTTTTGCAAATAATAAATAATAGCCTTCCTCAACTTCTTTTTCCTAAACTCCATATCCTTCTCCATCTCTCCAACCTCTCTCAACCTCTCATCCAACAACGCACTGAGCTACTAACCTCTTCTCCACCACCTCGATCATGGGCATTCCTCTCAACCTCCTAGAACATGAGCTCAATCTCTGCCTTCCGCCTCGACGATCTCGTTCTACCTCCTCTCACTCTCCATCGCCTCGAACACCCTAAAACTCGCCTTGATAGATTCCTCCACCAAGTGAATCTCCTTCTTGTGTTGCTTGAGCGCCTTGTAGTGGTCTCAAGGTCCTTCTGCTGGAGAGAGAGCAGCAAGTGCAAGGAGGTTCAGAGGTGCTGCAACGCGTTGCGAAAGCCGCTCTTCTTTGCCTCCGCAAGTCAGTCGAGAGCCTTGTGTCGGCCATGGCTTTTTCTAAACCACTGATCGAGCGAATAGAAAACCTAACATGATGAAGACAACAAGATTGTCTTATTCATGAACGTGATAGTCACAAAGAGTTAGGGGTGTCAATGGATTGGGTTAGGTTTCATAATACTCGACCCGACCCAAAATATTGAACATGTATACTTGGCCCAACCCGAGATAAGACCCGAATAAGATATAGCCACACGATAGGGTCGAGTCGGGTTTCGTGTTTCAGAAATAGTACAGAGTACCCACTCCTACTCCCCGTTGCTGCGGCCGCTCCCTTGCACCACGGCGCCAGTCACATCAACGGCCTCGGACTGAATCTGGAACTCGACACTCTCGATCTCCACAACGAGAAAGCCAATTCCGATTTTCTTCTCCTGATGCGGCAGGCCGAGGCACCCGAGCCGCCATTGAGGTCATGGACAATGACCAGTGCCAAAAAGGCTCAAAACCAATGACTAGTGCTTAGGGAGTCTAATCCCTTATTTGAATCATTTAAAAAACGATGCAAAATTTTGTAAAAGTTTCTCTCTCTAAATTTGCTTTTTAAATTTCTCAGTATTAACCTTGCTACTTTCACGATTTGTAAACTCAATCATATCATTTAAGAATTTAATGGCACGGCAAGATTAATTTGAACACAAATCAATTATTTTTCCGTATCACATTCTATTTGGAGCAGAAATTCATTTTTCACGCGGAACTTTCCTTCTAATATAACTTTAATAACAGAGAAAAGTATTACATTTGAATTTTGTAAATAAAAAAATAAATACGACAAATGCTACAGGTTCAAGCATCGCCTTCCACTTTCAGAAAATTCCTACAGAAGGTTCGCTTCCATTCCCTGTGCTTCTACTCAGTCTTGATCCCACCGCATTGACCGCTGCTCGGACGGAGGCAGCGAATTCCTGGTTTGAATCGTTATGCTTTCGTACCTATTCAGTTGATCAGCTCTTCGATCTCTGAAGCTTTGCTGTTTGAAATGAAGATTGCTGCGTGTTCTAAACTAGGTTGTTGAACTTGGTTAGAAATGCAATCGGACTTTCATGTCTCCGCACTGCTCTGTATTTGATCAGATGGAGCTGTACTCGTGGGTGGATTCTTTTTTGTGTGTCTATGATCGAGGTAGCTGCGAACGCGATTCTGTTGTTATCTGGGCCTTTGTTCTTGTTGGCGTTGTCATGCACACCATGTGTTTGATTGATTGCTTCAAAGAACTTATTATCTTCAGACTGCCTGTTCCTCTCGAGCTTTTTCCTTAATAATCTTTGCTAGTTATAATGTGACATAAACATTCGACTTTGGGTCCGCCGTTGATGGATCAAGGTTGACATTTTTATCCTCTTTGAGTCCAAGAGAGCCATAGGTGCACCCACCATGGGACGTAGCAACCTATTTTCTGCAATAAGTGTTTTTGGGACTCAGTGGTAATGGGTCTGTGATTTAATCCTATGTAGCGACCATTTGCTATTCAATCAGTCGAGAAGGTAGCATGTCGGATTTGAATCTTCCAAATATTGTGTAAAATTTAGAACATAAGTCTTTTGGTTTTAGTGTTGTCTATGAATGGTACCTGGTTGTATTTCTGTACCCGTGTCTCACTATCATTTGGTTTTCTGTTCCCAGTTTGATGCTCGAGTTGGCTGTACATAATGGTTAATGCCACAAAGGGACTTTTCATTTCATGGTAATCCCTTGGTTTTCTTCTGCTTGGAGGATTGCTTTTAAATGCTTGAATCCCTTGTGCATCTTTCTGCCTTATTGATGGCTCAATCACAGATTTTATTTGGTCAAATTTTAGCATCCATAATGCTGCAATCTGTTCCTTGAGAAATTATTGTGTTTGGTTTCAAGATACAGTTGTCTTTCCTTTTCATTTTACAATTCTCGCGTGGCATCCCTGGAGGGTTATTTGAAACATCAGTTTGATTTTTCAAAACAGAAGTTCACAAAGTGCGACTCTGTTGTTATTTATGTTGCACATCTTTCTTTTCTTTTGATACTTATGTAAACAAAAGAAATAACATACATCTTCGTTCAGCGACATACCAATGGCGCAGTTCATCATCAACTTGAATGCTTCTCTGCCAGCATCACAGAAGTTCATCATACACGTCTTGGACAACACTCACTTGTTCGTGCAGCCTCACGTGGCCGACATGATAAGGAATGCCATGTCAGAGTTCAGGGAACAAAATTCCTATGAGAAGCCAACTTGATGACTTCTTCCCATTCTATACATTTCTCGGCCAGTTAATTACAATGAGGGAGACTTGGCATACTACTTGTGCCGTGTCAGTAAAGTTATATTTTATAGCTGCACATGGCGGAAGCAAGAGCATTTCGTCTGAATGTAAAAGCTCATGACTAGTTTCTATTTCGAAACAGGCAAAAATTGCCACAAACGCCTCTGACTTTATGTAACAAGAGTCTCTCTTTGGCATTGGCAAAACCAATTCCTCTATTCCTTGTATCAATAGCTTCATTCCGATTCGATTCGCATGATCAACTCCTCACACCCATATGACAGATGATGTTACGGAACTCAGATCTAATGCTGTGTACTCCCACTTTAAGCGATGCCAGACAACCGATTTTCCTCGTCTTCTGATACAGGGGCTCACCAGCTCATTTTTCCTTGTCGACATACCCTCTTTCGCTTTTGAGGTGAGGAAAGGAATTTGCCTCCTACTTTGTTCCTCAAGTCCCATCATCCGGTACCTTCATTCCCAGATGCTTATTTGCTTTCGCATCGCCATGATCATATGCTCCAGGTCATTGCGAGAAGCAACCTTGGCTACATGAGGTTTAGACTATTGAAAAGAGGAGCAGAAATTGACACGAAATAATTAACATTTTTTAGACTATTGAAATCATGTATGTGCTTTAGAATTAATAGGCTATATATATATGACTTCCATTTCGATCTACCACCTCCACCCTAGTACACGGAACACCGAATGGAGACCTGCTTTTGAAAGCACTGTGGGCGAAGGGTTCTCAACCAATCTCGCACTTGACATGCAAAGCGAGAAAGAGCCGTCTATCTTCACGGAGAAAGAGAAGGATCTTCGGCAAGGGGTTCCCGCCTTCGCGAGACCTTTTCGATCTGCTCTAGGCTAAGCTCAATGGGGCCTTGCTTTGTTGATGCCAATCTCTTAGCTCATTACTGCCTACATAATCCAAGCTAAAAATTGCACCACAAGTAAGGAATTTAGCCTTTTTAGGCAAATTTAACGCGAGTCATGAAACGTGCATATATTATGCTTGAGTGAAAACCAAAAATTATTTTTCCTTCGAAAGTTAAAATAGTATATAAATTCAATAAATTACGGAAAAATTATATGAAAAGGCACGTACCGAAATTTATATATCATAAAAATTTCAGGTATTGCCGAGCAAGAAAAAATCAAACTGCGTCTATTAGAAATAAGGGAAATTAAAAAGTAAAAACTATCCGGACTAGCAAAATCAATCCTAAAAGCAAAAGAGGAATAAAAACTGAATTTTTCCCCAAAAAAGCAGAAGAAGAAGAAGAGAAGAAAAGAACAGTGCACAACATTTGTCTAAGGTTTATTCTCTCTCATCGGTTCTTCTGCTTCATCTTCTTGACCCAGAAACAGCGTCACTCTCTCTCTCTCTCTCTCTCTGTGCCGATAATGGCGGCCTCTCTGCACACCCAGCCGGGTCTCCACCAACCCTCTCTCAGGTCATTCGAGGCGCTTGCTTTCGCCGCCTAGGACCTGCCCTTAGCTTGAATTTCTCGATTTATATTTTCTAGTTGATTTTTAGCTGGGGAAACTGATGTGGCATCGGGTTTGCGAAATTTGCAGCTGCGCTACCAAGCTTTATTCGGGGCTAAAGCTTCAACCTTCGAGTCCGTCTCTCGCTCTTGCCATCGATTCCGCTCGTTCCAAAGATTGGTGCTTTCTCGTGTTGATTCGTGGTTGGTGTTTTTGGGTGTTTCTTGTGCAGGTCTGGCGACCGTGAAGCCGAACGTGTCCGCGGAGTTTTATGGGAAAGTTCATAAGAGCCTCCGGTGCAGGTAAATTTTGTATTTTTTTTAGTTTATTGATAATGGGTTATCTTTTTTTTTAAGTGGTTCTGTGGGAATTACTGTGGTCCTGTATTGGCCTGGGAGGCATCCTCATGGAAACGTAATGGTTTGAAGCTCATCCATGATGTTTAATCGCGACATAGTAGTTCGGAAAGCGGGGTCGAAAGTTTAAAGCTCGTCCCTTCAATTTGTTGTGTAGGAGAAACTAATATACTTTTTGTGAAAAGAGAGCAGTAGAGCAGAGGATGTTGCTGACTTGTTATTTATCGGGTCAATTTTCTCTTTGCCGAAGCGATATATTTCATGCATTGCCCTGTAAAATATGTGGGAGTATTCAACTTCATGATACTCTTGACTTGCTGATTGCAGTTCAGGAACCAAATTTCACAAACTACATGGGTTTCTTAACTGTCACCTGCATTGTTCGTAAAAAGTATTACCAAATCTCTTAAATTTGATGGACGTCCTTTTTGCTTTAAATTGGAGTAAAAGTATAGATGCTGGGTTTTTTGCTGAGACTTCTACTCTTAATTTGTAACGGTTGGTTTGTTGGTATACCTTCTTGTTCATCCTATTATCTGCTCAAAGACACCAATGGCATTATTTATTGGACAAATTGCCAGTATTCTTTAAAATGTACAGAGAGCAGATACTTTTCTGTACGTTAATGAACTGTTTCTGTAGTTTCAAGAATTCCGTGCTTGCTTCTTTTAGTTTATTGTGTAATATGCATTTTGTGTCTACTATGTTTTCTGTGTGCAGGACTAGCAATCCTAGGCCAGCACAAGGTAGAGCAAGAATGATGCCGATAGGGACACCAAGAGTACCATATAGAGTTCCTGGTGAAGGAACTTGGCAGTGGGTGGATTTGTGGAATGCCCTAGTAAGTCATCTTTTACTAATATCGGAGTTGAATAGCTAGTTTGAGTTACCCTATAACACACTCGCCTACGTATCAATGTTGGTATACTTTTTGTGCTATTCATATCCTTCGACAGTTCCACTGTTCTCCTTTGTCTCCAAGTGTTATATAGACCATTGATTTATTGAGTGGTGTTTGGTCATGTCTTTTGAAATGTGCATTGTTGACCAAAAGGTTTAATTGCACTTTCTGCATTAAATCTGCGTCTATATACCCTTTCCTCGTTAAAGGGACTGTCATATGGAGGACTCACTTAACCGATGGATGCAGTACCGGGAGCGTGTCATCTTCATTGGACAGCATATTGATGAGGAGTTCAGTAACCAAATATTGGCAACAATGTTATACCTTGACAGTGTTGATGATTCCAAGAGGCTTTATCTTTACATCAATGGTCCGGGTGGAGATGTGAGATCTACATGCATGCAGTTTTCCTAATTCTCTGGAATTATGTACTTTATCTTATTTTAACCGGAGGAAAACTGCAGTTTTGAGCTTTTAAATTTCTCATTTTGCAGCTTACACCAAGCTTGGCTATTTACGACACGATGCAGAGTTTGAAAAGTCCTGTCGGCACCCATTGTGTTGGCTATGCCTACAATCTGGCAGGTTTTCTCTTGGCAGCTGGTGAAAAGGTACCATCATCTTCACTAAACATGTGCTGGACGAATGCAGTAGCATTAGCACAGTCCTTTAGTTGAATATAACGAAAATATCGCCAATGCCTTGACTTTAGATAGCATGGTCAAGATAGTTCACAAGACATGTGTAAACACTCTTAAATTGACGCCCACAATTGAAAAGCTTAGAGTAAGGAAGTCCACTTCCCCGTCAAACGGGCACATGAACCTAAAGACCCAACACAGGGTATCCATATCCCAAAATGAAACAATTCGAGCATCAGGCACTAGCAGTTGGTTAAGTTTACTCTGCGTATGTAATGGGTTGCTGTGGAAAAGTGAATGGATTGAAGTAGAGAAGTTAAATAGAGGAAGCATGTTGGTTATTTGATATGAGCCGAACATAATTGTTAAGAGAAAGTTTAATTTCTGTAATGTTAATGTTCCATTAGCTCTTGTCAGAAGAACTGAATTCGAAAAAAAGAAAAAGGACCATGTGAAGTTGACCCCATTTAGCACGGTGTGGGCCCTCTTTGGTTATGTTTAAGGTAACCATAGAACTCATCTGCACAGTATTTGAGTATCCTTTTTTGAACCAGGTGTAGATGGCTTTCGGGATATATTTTGGTTCATAAGCTTGAACCTTGTTATGGTTTATTCAACTTGTTCTTTTTTTTGGTAATTGACTGCATAAAGAAATTAGATGCCCAGAACCAGAAGTTCACTTTGGCGTATTCACTCTTATATTTTGCTCCTGTTAATAGGGTAATCGCTTTGCAATGCCGCTTTCAAGAGTTGCATTGCAGTCGCCTGCTGGTGCTGCTCGTGGACAGGTATAGCTTCATGCTAGCATGCAGTTAAACTTTCTGAGGTTTTTTTGCATGGCAATTATAAGTGTGCAAAAATATCTTTGCAGGCTGATGACATTCGTAATGAAGCAAATGAGCTTCTCAGAATCAGAGATTATCTGTTCAGTGAGTTGGCTAAGAAAACAGGCCAGCCTGTTGAAAAGGTGAGTGCCCTAAACTGAATTCCAAATCTAGTTTTGTTAAAAAGAAAAGAAAGAAAGAATTGCCAATTTACACGATTGATTTTATAGTATAAAATGATCTGTGTAAGTCTAGTTTGCAGTAGCTGCTTGTAAGCTTTTCAATATGCTCAGCTACCTAAAGAAAAAAAAAAGGCAGGCTTTGATATGAATTCTTTATTTCTTTCCTCCGTATCTTTGGTTGAAAAGGCAATCTTCTTTATTTCTGGAAGCTTTTGAATATACATAGTTTGAAAAAAAGAAGAGAGATGAACATATATTTTGATGTTTTGGCTCCATATCTTTGATTAAAACGGCTAACTTCTTCACTCCCACAAAAGAAGTGCTCTTTTTCTTGGAAAGAACTATTTAGATATTCATAAATCCTTTTTCAAAAAATGTGCAGGTTAACAATGACTTGAGCAGAATGAAACGCTTCAATGCGCAAGAAGCACTCGAATACGGGCTTATTGATAAGATTGTCCGGCCACCTCGTATCAAAGCTGATGCACCACGTAAAGATAATGGAGCAGGTCTTGGTTAGTGTAATTTATTCCCTCCTCGTTGGCTGCTAGACATTTTTTCACTTTTTGCGATTATTTTTCCTTTTGAGGTCATCAATTGTTTGAGAAAGGGCTATTTAGGTGGGAATAACCTTGTGTAAAGATTCCTGTGCTTGTGTAATGCTTTATAGTCAGTGACATCCCGATATAATCTCCTGCTGAATAGAAAATTTTAAAAGAGAACGAATATACTTCAAATAGCAGCTGCAAAGACGCGCAGTACTTACTTTGAACTCATGACCGATACAATACCCTGCAGCTAGAGTGACCAAGAGAAGGATTTCATACATTTAGCTTTTACATTACACTCTCCTTGTGGTTATTCTCCTTGAACCTCTCTACACACCATCGTTCATCAACCTTGGTGATGAATTCTTCGATTCTTTTCTCTAGACTGTTGGTACAAGCTCCGTCTTCCCAACTAATCTCATCGTCACTTCCACTCATGTCATCATCTCCATCGTAACCATCCGATCTACCAGAACCACTATACTCTTTGGCGTCAATATCTCCCTCGTCTCTATTTCCTCTGTTGTCGTTTTCTGTGACTTCATCAGAAGAAGGGTGGGAGAGGTCAGCTCCGCGACAGTTCGGTTTATGGCTTCCGAGGAGGACGGTAAGGACGAGGGTGTTTAGGATTAAAAACACCAAGAGAGGGCTCGATGACGGATCTGGATCTTCGAAACTGCTGTTGCTGCTTGATGATGATCCTATTCGTCGGTTCAGGAGAAGAATACCGGACACAGAGACTGCTAGGAGGACGAATATCTTTGGCAGGACAGGCTTCATGCCCCGCACAAAGAGTTTGGGGAGTTTGGTTTTGCTTTAACAAGAGAGTGACTCTTTTCTGACCACTCCTTTTTGTCGGGCTTGAGTAAAAGATGCTCTAATCAAATCAGAAGCTTTTTTCCGGTGTTGGTATTTGTTTGGAGTGGAAGATAATCTAATCGGGTGTTTTGGTTGGAAATTTTAGGCCCTGGATTATAAATTTCTTCTCTAATTCTTTGAGGGGGTTCCAGGAGTGCAATTATTTTGAACATGAGTTCTTATTTGTTAGATTATTCTTGGAAGTAACGTAATCTTATGGACATAAGATGCCGATGAATAAGGTTCAGTAATCAAAGCTGGCTGAGGACGGTGACAATGACCAGATACTAATATCCATGGAATGATTCCATAGACCAGATTCTTTCTGCTTCCCTTTCTCCATACTCTTTTTTCCATTGACCTAATAACCCGAGTCAGTTTATGTTTTCGACTGAGACGTGCCTGTCCGTCTCGTCTCATCTCATCATGTCATCGATTTGTGTTATTTCATGCCACCGTCAAAAATTACTGGCAAAAATTACTCCAATCTCTATCGCTACGATGAAAATTCGGTTTCTTCAAAAACACGAGCCGGAGCATGCTAAGCGGTGTCAAGTTTCAGACAGTATATCCATGTTACATGGCATTCGTATATTTCGCAGTAAATTTGGCTTCATGCTATCATATCACGTCTCCAAGTTGCCCGCTTTCACGGGCACATGAACTCGAGGATGATCGAACTGAAACAACCATGCCAGATGCGAGAGAAAATACAACTAGATTGTCAACTGTTAAGAGCCTACTTGTAATCTAACTGAGTTCTCAAACAAAAAGTTCAAGACTTCGATTTACACACACCGTTGAATTAAGTGATACCGATCTTCGTGCAATGGTTAGCTAGCTCTGTTCGCTCCATGGAACCATACGATCGGAACTGAAAAGATGACCGAGCTCAAGGTATCACCCGGCTTAGTAAACGGAAAGGAGACAATAAAGCAACATAGTTCCCAAGAAAAATGATCCCATCGTGTCGTCCGTAAAAGAAATAACTCCTCAAAACGTTGCTGAAAAAAGGTGACGGGCATCAGAGATCCGCTACATGGTTTCCTTGATTTCACACATATGACAAGATACGAACTAGGAAGATGTACCTTGTAAGAGTTCTAGCATTTGCAAAAGGTAAGTGTCAACCAAGAAAAGAAATTGCAAAGCACATAAGGATAATCGACACATGATTCGTCTAATATCAAGAGCGACCATTAATTTCAAAGAAGTTGGCTAAAATTCCAAAGTAATTCCCATAGTTTTCATTAAACATCCTACACAAATCGAACACACCGGCAGTAGCAGCATCCTAGCTGAACCAGACAACTAAAATCTGAACATAACACCGATACAAGAGCCGGGAAGAAGAAAAAAGAGAAGGAAAAAGAGGCCCTAGCTGAAGATTACTCTCTCTAGATGAAGTTTACAGACAAAGACAAACAAGGGAGTCGTAAGACTTACAAGCAGAGCCAAATCGACGTGGTGGGTCAGTTAAAAATCATGATATGATCAGTAGATATCGTCTAGCACTACTTCTACTACTACTACTACTACTACCACTGCTACTACCTCTCTCAAGGCAAAGATGACACATTAATGTCAGTTTGCTTGTTATTTCTCAAATCCGGCTGCAATGCAGACCAGTTTTCCGCAGCGGATATTGGAATGGATGACGTCGGTAGTGAGACCGTGGAAATAACATCATGCTTCTGTTTCTTTGGCTTTTGCTCGTGCTGGTTTCCCGCGAGGAAGCTGCCTACGACAACCTATTGATACATAACAGAGGCAAATAATAGTGAATTCAGGGGTTTGTGCGTCTAAATCAGGAGTACGTGAGGAATCACTTGTAACATGGACATCCTTAGATCAAGATTCAGCATACTCGGATTGGAGATTCCTCTAAAAAGTTAGGCTCTAAAGATGGCTTTTAAAAACCCAAAGATGACTATAAATCTTTGTCAGAGAAATTGTACCGAAAAACAATCAAACACAAATCGAGTTCTTTAGAACATTTCCAAGCGACCACCAGTAGTCATTGACTCAATTTTGTTGTTGCAGAAAAGGAAGCATGAAAAAAGAAACTATCAAAAAGATCATACCTGAACAGGACTTGCAGCTACTAGAAGACCAGCAACTCCTCCACCAACGACACGTCCATCTGGGCTTGCTAAAGACACACTCATCCCGCCTGATCTACTTCTTGTTCCTCCAGTGTCGCTGGGCATGAATGACCCAGTTAAGGACAGAATCTCGAAACGACCCTGTAATGAGAAAACCCACAATACATGGGATATTATCAGTAGTCGATGAAGGGGAAAAAAGGAAATATTCTACAAGGGACTTTGAAATCACAATTATGTGGCAACCATTCGCTAACCATGAATTTATTCCACTAATTCTGGTTCTTCTTAAATTTTTTGTTATTTAATTTTTTCCGTGACCAAAAAAAGAAGAGGAAGACCTTACCAAAAAAAAAAAAAAAAAAAAAAGAAGGGAAGAGAGCATAAATCCAGAAAGATTCTGCATATACATAGATGCATATGCATGTTTCTGTACGATGCATCACCTCATATGTCAATGTACCCCCGGAAGAATCAGGCTGACGAAGTGTAACGCTCGAGATCACGCCATTGGCAGAGAGAATGCATATAGCTCGAGGTCCTTGCTGAGAAAATGATATTATCTTCATAGTTACATCCTGAAACGAGGAACAGGTAAATCACCTATCAACTACAAGAAATGTAGGAACATATTAGGATGAACTTGATCTAGTTACTCCAGTTCAATAAGTCACCAGCGTTACTTACTCAAATTCTGATGCCATACCCCACAAAATTTGGGTCAAAAAATAAACTAAAGAAAGATAAAGGAGGGATTTTTTTCAAGCTTTATTTTTCGTGTAGTGTAAGATAGTAACTATCTTTTTTCAATTGGGAGAGATGGCTGAGCGGACTAAAGTGTCGCTTGCTAAGCAGAACTCAGATGGTATTAGTACAAAAAATTATGCAATAAGGAAGCCAAGGTTAAAGTAACAACAACAAGAACGATCACTGCAAAAACTTTTACTGGAATTCGAACAAACAAAAACACTACCGTGCTCCTTTCCCTCTTCCTTTTTTTTTTTTTTTTGTTTTCTATTGGTGATGGGAAGGGGTTGTGAAGAATATTCGTGAACTTCTGGAGGCCTATATCCCTTCGAATTCAATGCAGTGTTTGTCAGGCTGGTCCCTCAATGAGCATGTCGTGAGAACATTAGCTAAGCATGATTGCAGATAACATCAGATAAATGCCAATTTTTCCAAATATACCTCGCCTGTATTAACAGTGATGATATGAGGAGTAAAATTAGCACCAACAGAGCATGCAACCCATTCACCTGTAAAGGAACAATCAAACACATGGTTAATAACTCCAGAACAACCTCATTTACATGTAAACAAGTTCATTGCAACCTTAATAACACCATAAAATTCGTGTGAAGTGAAAAAAGAAACCCGAATCAGAAGTTTAAGACCGTATAACATATGCTTGCCAGGAACTGATAGGCAGTCCTATAAATCATCTCTCAAGTTGCTAGCCCAATCTGCTCGACATCCATACCGAATCACTATAAATAGAAAGGAAGACAGCAAAAGAAATTTCTAAGTAGTTTAGGATTTTTTGCAAGTTCATTGTTATTACTTGCCATTGAGATGATCCAATTTACCTAACCTAAGAAAAAGTTTCGATTGTTTCAGGAAAGGATTGTCATTTTCTCAAGCCAGCAAAGCATGTCAAGAAGCCAACATGAGAACAATATCACCGAACTTCAGACATTGATATTCTTGCCATAAAAATCCATCGCCTTAACCAAAGAACTATCCTTCTTCATCAGCTCTTACTATGTGGTCAAGAAAAAATCTGAGTACGTGCGCTGATCCCACCAGCGCATGTCAAACTATAGGCAAATTTATAAGTTGGGCCTCTTGAAGAAAAGAGGATGACCGTAAAAGAGACGGAGAAGCAGAATCTCCCAAAGGTGGATTTAACACATTTGGGAACCAACTTTGCTTAGCTCTGACAGCTCTCGCAAAGTCCCAAATGTCCAGTTTTTCGAGCTTTTCAACCAACAGATGATAAGGATGAGGTACCCAATGACAGGCTTTGCTAGAAGATTCCATCAGTCAACCACAACACACTTCCTCCTCTTAGTTCTCTCAGAAAAAATCCACAAGCATCAGAAGATCTGATATCTGCAATATAAGCATCTAAACACACAGGTCCCACATCTATCGCCCATCAAAGCATCACCAGAACCGCAAATTCCCACACCAATCTCTCGATTTTTTTTCTCAAGAGTAAAACAAACCCAACTCAATTCCCACATCAAAAACCACACAGATCACAAGAAACACTCGCAACCTCAACCTAAACGCCAAAGTGCTTCCAAAAAAATGTTAACTTCAGTTCGGTAAACTTACTATGATCGCAAGAAAGCCAAGACTTCTTTCGTTTACCTAAATTCTCCACTTCAAAGCTGGGCTTGGGGACCGACCCGGCCGACCGCCCGCGGCCGCGCTTAGGACCCGCCGAGGAGAAGTCGATCACCGGCGACGGCGCCGACGAAGATATCGGCTTCGGCGACAGCGCCATCGTCACCGACCCGTCCGGCCCGTACTTCCTCGGCCGCCCTCTCTTCTTCTTCATTGGCAGCGCCGTTCCCGCCACGACGGCCGGCAGCTCGCCGCCCACCGCCGGCTGCTGCGGCGGCGGGGGAGGAGGGGCCGGCGCCGGCTGAGCCGCCGATCCAGGAGCCTGGGCCGGGTTCTCGGGCCTTGGGGCCACGTGGTACTCTGATGGAGCATCTGATCCCACCACTGTAACACCCCCACTGCTACTCACACCTTCTCTTCCCTCCATGGATAAAAAACCTCGCAAATTCCTATGCTCTAAACACCAAAAAGCATTCAACTTTTCAGCTCAAAACTAGAACTACCCAGAACAGCTTTCCAACCAAAAATTCAAACTTGATGGAAACCAAGAAAGCAAAACATGCCACTGAAGCTAGAAACTTGAAAAAAAAAAAAGCAGAAAAAAATTTGAGAACCTTACACAGAAGCAGAACCGCAGCAAGGACAACTTCAAGAACAGATTTTTGAATTCTTTTCCTTCCTTCCTTTTCTTTTTTTTTTTTTACAGTGAGATTCACTGCAGTTTCTTGATTACAGGAAGTAGAATTAAGCTCAAACGGGAGAGCTTAAAACTTAAAAAGTTGGTCATCCTAATTTTTTCCAGTAAAGAAAAAACTAAATAATATTTATCTAAAAAAGTGGAAGGTTTGATTTTTCGGAAAGAGGTGGAGTATAGGGAGATGATAATAATTAAAAAAAAATGGATTTTTTTTTTTAGGTAAAGTTGTTGTTCAGCTAATTTGGTTCCTAACTTTCCTAAGATTGTCCGAACTGATATTATATTAAGAAATAGACAGGCATAAAAAGAAAACAATATATCAGATAAGCATCGCTCGAAATTATTATTTTAAGGTTGATTTTTTTTTATTTCACGTATTTAAATGTGGAGATATTGATTTCCGTGTTTTGGTTGGAACTTTCGTTGAGATGTAATAAATTAATTAATTATTGGCAGAGGGTAGGGTGATATATATTTTTTTCCCAATTTTTTTTTGAATTGTTTTTCTTGGAAAATGGGCGGGGGAAATATTGGATTAATACCTCCCCCTAATATTTAAATAATGAATTGAGACTTTAGTTGCCAAGGCATGAAGCAATTGTCTGTAAAGAAAAGTAGTGATGGCCAAGATTCTCCTCTTTTTCGGATCCGGCGTGCAATAACCAATTCAAATGAAAATGATGACCCGGAACAATATTAATTAGAGGAAATTAATAAAAAGCCCAATTATTTTTTAAAATTTTTAACTTTTTAAGCTTTAAATCAGATTCTGATTTCATTTCCCGCACTAGAGTTTTTAAAACATGCAAGCAATAACATTTAAGTACATCTTAAATTTTTCATAATTAAAAAAGTCATTTATTTTAATAAAGCTTTTGATTTGGTTTGAACAATACCGTCCTCCCTTTAAATAATTGCAAGTCCATGGATTTTTTTAAAATTTTTCAGTATTTTCTAAGTTCATGCACCGTTCATATCATTCGCCCTTTATTAGGTGCAAGAGAAATCGCTAAATAAATTTCAATCAATTATTATTCGTGAAATAAAATTTTTGGACATTTGAAGTAAGTCGATCAAAATGAAAACTTAATGATTTAACAACAACAAAAAAAACACTTCAAAGTTTAATTTCTCATGTATCTTCATGGATAGTGCATGATTTATAACAAGAAATTAAAGCTTAATTTCCCACTAACAGTCATGTCATGATCCTTTTTAGCAAGTACCTAATATTCAATTGAAAAATGTACATCTGCCTTGATAACCATAAATGTGAAACCGGTCACTTTTTCTTTAATAATGCCTATAATCATGTAAATTGATGAGGGATTTTCGCAAATTTAAATTATTATAGAAATGTGGAAGTGGGGGACTGGGGGGGGACCACGGGGGTAGACGCCAGTCCATGTGCTTGAATTACCACCTTGATATTACCTACCAAAAGTGCAATGAATTACTTACTTTTTCGATATAAAAGACACAATAATAATTATTAATAATAATTATAACAATGAATTGGTGTATACCAAATGTTAGGCACAGCACGTGATCCAGCTGTTCTACACTCTCTTTGGAAACCAAAATTTATATGCTTATAAAAAAAATGTGCACGACAAATAACCAAAAAAGAATCCTTCTTTTTCTCTTTCTTTTGCAGGTTTTTTTATTTCGCTCTTCGAGAAGGGAACCGTGAAATTTATTTTCTTTTTTGAAAATTGGAAATAAAATATATGATCAAGGGTCTTTTTTTGTCCTGTTAGATTGAAGAAAAATGGGACAAGGGAAGATGCTAAATGGAAAAATGACCTCCTCTCGCGGAAGAAAAGAAGACTTCAAGGACACTTTTCCAGAATGTGCTCAACTGCCCATTATCAAATTATTAGTCAGTCATTGAGTTTACAACCGAAAACACACACCCAATTCAACATTATTGGGCATAAAATTCCATAGGAGGAAGAAAACGTATATGTCCTTTTACGTGTAGTCCACTAGTCAAACCATCCAAATGTGATAGGTGTCCCCCATACAAAGCATTTTTGTTGCATAAAAATCTGAATCGGACATTTATAACTTTGATGCTATTTGTGAATGATTTTGAAAAGCATTTTATAAAAGGCATTGTGAAAGGTTATATATAATGCTTTACGGATCTAGTTTATGAAATGAGTTCTAAAATGATTTGAGAAATATTTTATGAAAAGTATTTTGGCTGATGAGCTAAGTTGCGAAAAGGGTATATGTTTTAGTTTGTGAAATGTATTCAGATTTATAATATGAATTATGGATTGGTTTTGTGGATTGTTGGAGGATGGTGGTTTAATGTTCATTATCATTGCGAACCCGGTTTAAAGATTTTTAGATATGCATACTAGTTTCATGATATCATTTGGGGCCGAGCCACCGGCTGATATGTAGGTTGAGACTTTGCCGGGGGAAATCTTAGTCACCTTGTTGCTATGTATTATGCTGTGACTATGGTTGGATATTAAACAATGGATTAGTCGATGGAATGGATCATCGACATATGATTTGATAAAGTTTGATCAATGAATTTCATCATTGATGTTTGTTCATATATAATTGATTTAAGGAATATTTCATATATGTTTATAGTTATGTTAAGGTGATATGACTTTCGACCAATAAAAAGTAATATAACTCATTTTGATTATGTGCTGGATTTGAGATAAGTGAGTTTGATGTTGTTTTATAAATGTGCATAGCTGATGCTCAACCTACGTAAAAGAAATTTGTACCACTCATTAAGATGTGATTGCTCATACCATTCATCTTACATCTTTTTTCAAGCTCTTCAATTAGAGGCAAGTTGAACAAGAGCACTATCAATGGGAATTTATCGTGGTTCCCTGAAATTGGGAACCGCCCATTAAGGACCGATTCCACAAAATGGACCCACCAAAGAACTAGACCAACGGTCTGGTACGGTTCCTGGGTGGGTCCATGAAACTGGTCTTTTTGTGTGTAAACGCGTGCAATAATTCTCTGTTCAGTATCAAAATGATACTACAGCAATTGATGCATATTTCATTCTCTCGTTCTTTTCTTCTTCCAACTTTCCTCAAACATATAAAGAACCAAAAAGATAAAAGAGAAAGATCGGAAAAGAAAAGTTCAGACTTTTTGAACCCTCTTCAAAGAGCCTTGAAAGAAGAAACCTAGAACAAGCCAAGACACTGACCGCGGTCGCCACTAAATATGTTGGGGTCTTAGCCAGTGATCTCCATTCTCCTTCCATTTTAACACCATTTTAACACCAACCCAGAACTCTCTCTTCCATTTTCTTTAAATCTCAAACACAAATTCAAACCCACGGATACAGAAAAGAGACCCCAACTCTCCTTGACTCGGTGTGAAGCAAGAAAGGTCATAACTTTTGAGAGGTCACATTAATGGTGGGTCATTGGTGTAAGCAAAGAAAAGAGATCGTACATTGAAAAGAAAAACACATTTAAGATGAGGCGAGAGAGTTGAGAGGGCTAGGTAGAGGGTTTGTGTGAAAAGGTGGATGATAGGGGTGTGAAAGATTTGTATGTACAAAGCTCGATTAGGGTTTTTTTGCTTTATATGTATTTATATATATATATATATATATGTATTGGTCTAGTCCGGGTGAATGGGTCTATGCTCGGAACCAAGAATTGGACCGATCCCCATGAGAATCGTCGGTTCGGTTTGGTTGAGTTTTGAACAGTTTGGGCGGTCCCGATTCTTTTGCGCATCCTCATATATAGGATGGATATACATTTTGATAACAGGTTCATGTTGGTTTTTGTTTGAAGGTGTGTCGTTTGAGTAAAAGGACGACTGTGTCATTCTCTTATACTTATAAGGGTCTGGGTGTGAAGTTTGTTGGTATTAGAGCGGGGCTCACTCAAGTAGATGTGTTGTTCAGCGATGAACCACACAGAAGCTAGTGAGCCTGTAATGACTTGGTTCAACGAGGGCCGGGAGTGATTGTTAGGGCCAGAGGCTCGAACAAGTAGAGGTTCCTAGAAGGCTTCTAGAATGTCAAATGAGGCAAGGATGAATTGAATTGCGAACCGAACAGAGAGAGCGTTCCTGAGATTTATATAATATTGAAATTAACTCACTAAAGACGCATTTTGACGTAACAACAAACTTAGAATTTGAACTCTAATTTTAAGCATGCTTAAGTGAGAGCACTACCAAAATGGGTGATCTCTTGGAAAAGTGCCAATTTGTACTCCAAAGGACAAAATCGTGAGCTTCGGTATGAGATGGGTCAAAGCGGATAATACCTTGAATAAGTTAATCCAGTGATATCACAATATGATATGTATATATATATGGCCGTAATCCGTATACTTATGGCCGCAACATTAATATAAATAATTCACATGATTGAGAACAGTGATGAAAATAATTCTATTAAAAAATCCACTCAATTTGATCCTAAATTTCTGTTAGAAAACCGATGAGGAACAGGTTCACGAGCTTTGATTTATCATTTTATCATTCAAATTTTGTCTTCCATCTCAATATTCCATAAGAAATTAACGAACGAAAAAAAGAAGAAGAAGACAAAATTTCTAAGAAGAACAATTACCCGGTAAATTTCACAAATGGAATCGACATTTTATACTTTCTCACTTTCTTTTGTAAATTCAATTTTTTAATAACAGATTGGTAAAATCTAATTCGCGTAATAACAATTCAAAAAATTTTAAAAAAGGGATTAAAAATAAAGTGATCGCTGGCTTCGAGAGCACGAATAAAATAGTGAGATCCATAAAGTTGAATGCCGGACAGCAAGCATTGACCAAAGCAAATTATATTTTTGCAATTAATAAATAAATTGTTTTTATTTTCACAGAGACTGATGGCATCTCGAGTAAACAGGGCTGCAAAAAAACAAAAAAAAAAACAATTGAAAAAAAATTTATGTCCAGATAAGAACAATCTAAATTAATTAATCCGATTAATAAAAAAATATGGTGATAAGGTCGATGCAACATTAGCTTGGACATCTTATAATAATTCCAATTATTTAAGTCTTTTTTAAATACATATCGCTTGTCTATTTATAATATTTTTTT